TCTCCTGGGAAAAAAAGAATCCTCCTACTACTGATCTTTCTAAGAAAGCAACCCAGCAAACGAATATAAAGAAGATGAGGCAAGAAATTGACACTGTCTTGGCATCATTCACTAGCTCCGATTCTTCAAAGAAGAATAAAAAACAGAAAAAATCCGGTAAAGAACAGGGTGATAATGATGTTGAACAGAAACCGTCTGCTGACAAGAAAAAGCGTAAGCATCGCCAGAAAAGATGACCTGTCAAAGTCTTCTCAGAAGAAGCTCAAATCCTGAACTTGCAGATGCTGTAACAGCTATATCTGCTTACAATTTTGTTGCTCTGTATTGTAATTGTTTTTGTAGAAAATTATCTTTGTAACAATTCCCTTTTTCTGTGTAACAATAATATCTAGGAAATTTTGACATTGGAAAGTTTTATGGATTAAATATAGTTGATCTTGGCTTTGAGAATTCTAACAGCATATTCTACAATGCATGCACTCAGTATTCGCGTCATGAATCATTGTTAATGTACAATTGGGATGGAGACTTGGAGAGAGTATAATTCAATATCATCAGAAAATGTTGTCATAAGCATATATCATCAGAAAATGTTGTCAAAAGCATAAGAGATTTGAGACAGCAAAATTGTGGTATTTCACTATATTATATCAGGAAAATTTGTTTTTAGAGATAAGAAAAGCTCATCATATACAGTAAGCTAAAAGCTGTCCATTACAAACCAAAAAAGATACTACTCTACAAAATATAGACTAATAAGACTATGGATTGTAAACCTTCATCCTTCATCCATGAAGTGTAGGCTTCAACCTAACAAAAAAAACAGAACAAGAAACCACACTGTCTGAGACAACTAAGAAGCATGCAACTGTTCTTTCTGAAGACCTGATCAGAATTAAAACCAGACTTTACTTGTTTTGAGTAGGATTCGATCTACTTGGGGGTATCCTTCGAAAACTCGAGTCTACCTTCTTGAAGGGCTTCTTCATATCGGATCGAAGATGTTTCAATGTTTGAGAGGAGACACCAAGTAACCTCGCTTGCGCCCCACTCGACCGAGACAGCAACACCAGTGCAAAAACAAGAACAAGAACAAGAACAAAGGTCTTACATTGGACTTTCATGTTTTTAGTAAGTATAAATCAAGTTAATTGAACAAAGATACACTCTCAAATCATATGAAGTGATTAGAGGTTTAGTTAAATACCAATAGTAGAATCTTAGTATACTCTTGGGGATCTGAAGAAGGTGGGATCATGTGCTACTTTGTTTGACTATATGCATGTTTGTAGTCTGACCATTGGATTAACTACTAACTAAATACTACTATAATCTGATTAATCTCAGAGGTAGTCATGTGATCTATCACGTGATAATGTTAGTTTAGTTTTCTTGAAGTTATAAAAGGGTGATAAATTAATGCATGCTTCTTTTTCTTTTCTGATAATCTTAGGTTATTTTATTTTGCTAAGTTATCAGAAATCAGAATCAAAATGCTGCATATATATTACTCCTTGTACTTCTCAATCATACAGCTGTCTTAAACGAACAATATTAGCATTTTTGTCAAAGACACTTTTTTGCTGTCTCACTTCTTTAACTTGCATTTGTTAATTAGTGCCTCATCTAGTCATCTACTATAGTTTATTGTTAATGAGGGCCTTAATAAAATGGTTTTCAATTCTTTTAGATATTTAACAAAAGTGTACTATGTGGATTGTTATTTAAGTTTAGTGATGTGTTGTTGTATTTATGAATGTCTAATATGTAATATGCGTATATGTATACAATAAGTTTAGTCAACTCAAAGTACATACATAAATATTGTCGTTTTTATGCTTCTAAATTATTTAGAGTCACATTTGTGTGATTTGGAGTAATTAATCCTTTGTATAAAATAAACGTTTATAAGCTAGATACAAGATTTTGCACTTTGTCTCTTGATACCTCTTTTCTTATAAGTTTACACTAGCTCTATATATACATAATGCATGCTTTAAATTTCTAGTTATACACCAACCAATTTTAAGTGGAATTTATGTATTAGGACATATTTAACAAAAGTGTACTATGTGGATTGTTATTTAAGTTTAGTGATGTGTTGTTGTATTTATGAATGTCTAATATGTAATATGCGTATATGTATACAATAAGTTTAGTCAACTCAAAGTACATACATAAATATTGTCGTTCTTATGCTTCTAAATTATTTAGAGTCACATTTGTGTGATTTGGAGTAATTAATCCTTTGTATAAAATAAACGTTTATAAGCTAGATACAAGATTTTGCACTTTGTCTCTTGATACCTCTTTTCTTATAAGTTTACACTAGCTCTATATATACATAATGCATGCTTTAAATTTCTAGTTATACACCAACCAATTTTAAGTGGAATTTATGTATTAGGACATATTTTCATATGGACAATCGCATATCACTACCTTCTTGGTTGGCAGATCGATCATATTATGACGAACAAGTGTCTTCTCCTAATCTCCTTAATTATTTTGAAAATTAAAGCATTCGACATGTATTATGAATATTATGAGGCAAATTAAACAGTTGATTGAATATTTAATGTCAGTCATGATTTTTGTTAGTGATAATATATATAGATTTGGTACCTTGCAATAATTCTATTATATATTTCTGCATCTGTATCATGAGTTCCCCCGCCCTCTTGAGAAGTCTAATGTTATTTGATCTAGTGGTATGTACGGATGAGTCATGCCACCATAAGGTTATAGGACCAATTTTCATTAGAGGCAACTTGAGTTTGGAAATTCCTTAATACTAGTAAATAAATTGAACATCATATCATGTATTTTTATTCGCAACTTTTGAGATTGTGTTGTTTTCTTTCATTTGAGTTACTAATTAAAAATTTAAAAATACGTATTTGTTCCAAATCACAATTCACTTCAAAAACATTTTACTTAAGATAAAACTAGACTAGTACATGTGTACGATGATCTGATGATGAGTAATTTAACCTAATTAATATTATATGAAATAATAAGTAATTTATAAACTATAATCAAGACCATTTGTTTTCATTTAGCGGGATTCAAATTTTGACTTGTTATTCTCTTTCTCTTAGTTAATTTATTTCATAATCAAATGAGTATTTTGAAGAAATCAAAGATTAACATTATTCATAAAATGAGTTTAAACAATGATTGAGTTCATCATATCCATAAATTGTAGATTTTTTTATACAAAAAAAAAATCAATAATGACATCATACATTAAATTGACGGGAAAATTTATACATAGGATAGGATAGGGAAATGGTTCATGATGTCAACAACGTTTTATTTTTAGAATTAGTATTTAATAAATAAATTTAATGTTTATTTCTAGTATTTAATGTTTTATTTCTACTTATTATTAAAAATTTTAGCTTCTTATTATAGGCATTTCTTAAGACTTATATACTAAAATAAATAAGTACAAATATTTTTCTATTAAGAGTCTCATACAAATATAAGTTATGGCTTTACATGACTAAACATCCATTTTACATTATTTGCAACAATTAAACACTTTTCATTGAGAGTCTATTATGTATACCAGGGTGTACCGTACACCGGGTTATTTACTCATTTAATTTTGCTCATTTTATAAATGAGAATTTTTATTATTATTATTTTTTTTTTTGCTCATTTCATTTATTAAATCTAATATATAATTTAAGAGTTTTTTTTTTCAACTTCCACTCACAATAGTCCAATCCTTGAATGGAGTAATTCTATGCATTTTTTTTTTAATTTTTTTTAATAACTTCCTCTTTAACTTCCATTGCAATATCTTCCACTTCTCCATTTTTTCAAACCATTAAAAAAAAAATAAAAAAAAAAATCTACAACTACCACTTAATTTTTTTTCTTTTAAATATACATAAATGCTCCAAACTCCCAATCTTGAGTACCCACGCATTTATTTATTTATTTATATTATTATTTTTGTAAATTTAAAAAAAAAAAACAAACAACAACTACCCATTCCACTCCTTTTAAAAAAAATTAATAAATAAATACCATCCCACTATTTCTTTTTTTTTTTATCTCTTTTTTTTTTTGTAATTTTTACAAGAGAATACTACTAATATTACACTTTTTAGGAACACTAATAACATTTCACTTTGTGTTTTTTTTTACGTAGTATAATATATGACATGCAGTAAAACGAGTATATAGTTCATTTATCAACAATTCACCATAACACTCAAAATCCCCAACCCTTCGATCGTATGTATTTTTTTAAGGAATTACCCTCCAAACAACTTCGACTTCTCTAATAACCAAACAAAAAAAATATACAACATGTTTTTTTGCGAAACTGGTCTCGCCGAAAAACTGTTTGCAAAATAACAGGAGTAACTCCTACATCATTGAACCAAATTACCCGTATAACACTAAACCGGTAACCTCTATAGCTTTGACAAAGTAAACCCATAATTACTTTCCACATTGCGTGGCCACCGACATATAAGAGTAGACCCTGTTCTTTTAAGGCTTCTGAGCAGGGCAGAGAACATAAGATTCCAGGATAGCAGTCAGCAGGAAAAACTAAGAGTCAACAAATTAATAATATTCAGTAGACCAGAGCTAAGTAGAGTTCAGCAGAGCAGACCAAAACACAAGTCCACAACAATACCACAAGAGCTCAAAAGAACAGGCTTTAAGTTACAACATCAAAATCAACTTCCCGTATTCTAAGTATATTTTTTCTTATAATATATATTTAATATCTTTCTAATATAATATATATCCCGTGCATTTTACACGGGTACACTCTAGTGAGCAAAAATTAATGAGCAAATTACCCGGTGCACCCGAAAGTATTTAACAAATTCTATATCAAATCATTGCAAATAATAAAGATATAAATAATAATCTCGTATCTATAATTTCGTATAATAAAGATATTGAAAACCAAAAGAGGCCCTTTTCCCAGCCAACCCCAAGAAATACTTACAAAAAGGGGAAGAAAATAAACAGCAGCACATGAATTTCCATTTTTACGACTGATTATGAGGAGAGAGATTACGATATTCGATTATTGAACTGCGATTTCTTCGTTCGTCTCGCTATCTTCGTAATTAAGGTATTTTGCTTTCAATTTGATCCCCAATTTTCTCTTTTCATCGATTTTGTAATATTCGATTTGATTTCGTAACTTTTTAGGGTTTTTGATGATTTATTCTCTTTGATTCACAATTTATGATCCAATTGTCGTAATTTTGTTGCTGTTGATTTGTAGACGTTCAGTTGCTACTAGTAAGGGTTTTGTGGTTGCTGATTGATTGGCCTCTTTGTTTGAATTGTTTTTCTTGGTGAATTGATTGATAAGGTGATACTTCTTCTTACTCTTCTTTTGTTTCGATTGTAATTTAGGAAATTGTAATTATGTAGGTTTATCAACAAATTAGTGGAGCAAAAAAAAAAAAAAAAAAAAAGGAAATTTAGATAAGAATGTTACAGAAGAGTAGTGGGGAATGAAGAATCTGACTGCAAATTGTAAAATTCTTGTTGTAGGGTTTGTATGTTTGTGAGGGTTTGTATGTTTATATGATTAAAATTACACACTTTGTATTTCAGGATCTATGTGTCTGTTAATAGCAATAAAAATTGCTCTTTGAATATTGAGTTCGTGCTATCTTTCCGACAGACCCGAAAATGTCAGTTTATGTATCTTGTTTGTCAAGAACACCATTTTTGTTGAGGATTTAGGGGCTTAGCAACTACTCTGACCTTTCTTTACTATTGAGGCTGCCGCTGTGCAGGGAAGGGGTAGGCTGATCGCCTGATTACTTAGAGAATGAGGTAGAGAGGGAGGAGAGAAGAAAGATGGGAAGTGGCTGAGAGGAGGGTGAGAGGATTAAAATAAATAAAATTTAGTGAGGTTAAAATTGTTAGTAATCAAGTATGTGGATTAAGGTATGGGTTTCTTGGTGTCTGTTATTCTAAACCTAGTTTTGATACTAAAACACGTAGTTGATATCTTTGGTTGAACCAAACCCCCCTTAAAACACCACTAAACCATTTGGATTATCATCATACAAATACAACTCTAGGTCCATTATTATCTAAGCTACCCCCATAATTTTGTCTCATACAGACTTGAAAAGTTCCATCTAACTTATCCAACTTGCTGTAGAAACTTCAAATTGGAAACAATGAGTTCCTCATCATGAATTGGCTACACCAAAATGCAATTTGCTAATTGTAGTAATAACTTCATATGAGTTTGGAATCACGAGTAAGGATTTAATTTACTTCTTTGTCTATCGTTCCCAACTGGTTTCTATAAGATCTAACCACGTATGTCACGATTTCCGAAGCCTGAGATACTCACTAAATAAGTTTCTCCAATGGCTTTTGATTTGTAGTTCTGCTTGGCTAATGCTTGCCGTAAATCTCTAGATCTTGTGCTTATATGTATCATTGCTCCTCTATTATCACTTGTTATATACTTATATATATCTTGAGCATCACACCTTGGAAGGCTTTGATGCTTGCCACCCAAATGTCAAAATTCTATCATGATAGACCTTGTTTGGGTATGATCTGAAACCATATATTTATTTGGAAGATTATGACATATCATGATAGACCCGAATGTCAAAAGTCTATCATATAACCACTGGTTTCTGATCGTAAGAGTTTACATTGTAATATATATGTTTTGGAGCATACAATGTGTCAATGTAGCTGTCAACTTTTTGTTATGGCCTGTGATTATTGTTCAAGGTCTGAAATGTAGTTATATGAGGCAAACCACGATTTGGGCCACTAGGAGCAAGGATTTTCTTGAGAGTTAACATTTTTATGTGGTCAGAGCCAGATACAAGAGAGAGGTTAGAGGAGTGAGATTTAAGAATAGAAAAGATAGATATCTGATGGAGCAAGGTAACTAAATGGAACAAGGATTTTCTAGACCGGTAATCATTTTTTATTGTGTTTGGGAGCAAGAAACAAGGGAGAGGAGTGAGTAAAAGATAAGTAGTTCGATATAAATTAGGGTTTGGAAGAAGTATCTCCTTTAATTTCAGAATCTAGTTGCCTGTTGAACTAATAAATGTTTTGATTAGGCATGTGTTGTTATTGTTTCTAATTAATATAGCCATTCTACTATTCCACCTATTGATATGTTTTCTATAAGGATAAATAGGTTGTCGTACTAAAATAGCATGAGACTTTAAGTTTGGGGACAGTGGTAGTATAAAAAGGGAGCTTGAGTTGAATTTGGATGCATTAATTCTTTACCTGTGATTTTCTAGAACATGATGATTTTAGACTATTTATTGAGTGTTCTACCACATTTATCAATTTTCATCCTTTAGCTGATGTTAATTATAATTAGAAGAAATGAATCAATGTAAATCATAGCCAGACATTTATTTATCACAGAGAATTAAGATTGGTGTTCTAAGTCAACCTTTAATGAATTTGAAATTGATATTGTGTGGGACTTATAATTTTGACAAATGGAAACTAGACTATCTCAGCTATGATCGTTTTAGTTATGTTTTTGGTGTATCACATGTAGACAAAATGTCCTGTTTTGTAGCTCTTGTGTTCAGACTGCTACTCAGAACCATATTCCTTGGTGAAATTTACGATGATAAGCTATGTTGGGTTGTTCTTGTGTGCAAAAGCGGTTTATATTCTCATTTTGCAGGTTTATTTCAACCTTCTTTGTATAACTCCCATAGTCCCTTCACATCTTATCTACTCCTAGTTCATTACGACTTGCGAGGCACTGCTTCAATGATGCCTTTCTCATAATTTTCTCTCCTGGCTGTAAATGTTATACCCATTGTTTGTTTTTGCAAGAATTGATCACCGTTATGCATTCCCTCTTTCTTCACTTTTGATGTTTAAGGGGAAGGTTGCCTTTTGATTAGTTGTTTATCAGTGTTGCTAGCATAAATTTATTTGTTTAACTCTTTTTCCAAGATGATGCACTTGATTGGGTTGTCTTGACTCTTAAGCTCTCTAAATTTTTGTTAATGTTCTAGTTGTGGAATCAGTTTGTTTTGTCAATCCTAATTATTTATGTGGTGTTTTTAACAGTTTTGTTCTGAGGTTCAAGTTAGGAGTTGCATTTGAAGATTATAAAATGGCTGAAAAAGCTTGTGTCAAACGCCTTCAAAAGGAGTTTAGAGCGCTCTGTAAAGTACGTTTTATCTTTTTTTTTTTTTTCACTCTTATTGCTCACCAGCCGGTTTCTTACTTTCTCTTGAACTATATTCTATATTTGATGTGTATGATGTTTTTCTGGTGGATTTGTCTGCATATAGCCTTATTTTCATCTCATTTGTGGATCTCTTGCAAACTGCTTTCTCTCTTTCTCTCCCAAACACTTTACACACATGCACATTCTTTTTTTTTTTTTTTTTTAAATTCACTTTCAAAAACCTTATAACTGTACCATGTTTTCACCCACATACCCTAAAATCAATAAGCTATTCCCTTTTTTTTTTATAAATAAAAGTTAACTTTAAACAATAATTCCACTACAATCCCTCTTCTAAATTATTGTGCCCAAGTCAAATGGAGCCTTTTTAAGGGACGGAGGAAGTATCTTTTATTAGATTGCTTGGCTTATTTTAGGCGCAGAGTTTACTTGCAGATGAAAGAAGTTTCTCAAGCTGATTATTTTCCTGGTTCCTCTGTATAAAGGATAGAAGAAAGTTAATGTTAAGCATTCTATGTCGTGAACTTTTTCCTCTCTTTATTTCAATGTAGAATATTAGAGAATTAATTTTTTTTGCATATGACAGAGCAACCCCAATTCTTTAGGAGTTCTGAGAACTCAGCTTTCTCAAATTAGGCTTTTTTTTTTCATCTAGAATAAATTTGTTGGAAAATGAATGTTTTGCAAGAAAATTGTCATCACTCTTTACACCCCCTCTAGGATTGATATTTTCTTTTATAATTTTGGCTTGTGCTCCTGCATTATATCTTCATCCTTCAAAATACTCTAATGGCATTTTTTGAATTTGCAGGAGCCTGTATCTCATGTAGTTGCTCGCCCCTCTCCAAATAAATTCTTGAATGGTGTAAGTTTTACTTTAGCAGTCCTTCCCTTACCGATGACTTGAAATAATGTGCTAATTTGTCTGTGGAAATATTGGAACTTTAGTGTATTTCTAGTTGTTGTATGCCATTTGGTGGAATATGGAAACTTTGACAACTTAGGTTATGCCTTAACCTGGTAAGTCCTACCCTTCCAAAGATGGTTTGCAAGATGAATAATCATGTGACTGTATACATAGCATACCTATTCATCATTTCATCTGGACGTAGCTTTTTATTTAAGCTGACCTTAGTCTGTATAGATTTTTTTTCTCCATTTTTTATTTTTTTATTTTTAAATATGGGCTTGCTGGTTTGGAGTTTAATTATATTAGAAGTCTCTATTTCACAATTGCCACTAAATTAGCATGTTCAAGGTTTTGGACATTGCTTAAATGATGGGGATTATTGTTATTAAATTGTTTTAGCTTTTAGAAGATATGTTCAAAATTATATGTTGTGTTAGTCTTTTTTTTTTTGCATCCCTCTTTCTTATCTTTCTTTTGTTTTCCAATTTCAGATTATGTACTTGAGGGAAGTGAAGGAACACCGTTTGCAGGTTTGTCCTTCCTGCTGTAATTCTTTTCCCTGCATCTTTTTGGCTCGAGTTCTGAACTCTTGTGACTCAGTCATTGCTCGTGTCATTTTCAATTATGTGAGTTAATTTTCTGATTTTTACATCTTATGAAGGTGGATATTATTATGGGAGGATCACGTTTCCATCTGAATATCCATTTAAGCCACCATCGATCAGGTACCTCACTTTTTTTTTTGGCTAGTTATCTTCTCCCTTGAGATTATAAAGAAATGAAAATGCTTGTGGCTTTGGCATTTTAATGTTTCCTTGTTTATAGGATGACGACTCCCAATGGGCGGTTTATGACTGATACCAAGATATGCTTGTCTATGAGTGATTGTAAGTTTTGTGCTTCATTGATGCTCTTTATGTGGCTTTGGCATTTTTTTTGGTCATTGATTATGATTTAGTCTCATAATGATTGTCTCTTTTATTTATTTGCAGTTCATCCTGAAAGTTGGAATCCAATGTGGTCAGTATCCAGGTAAGATAAAGTGTGCTAACAGATGTTATTCTCAATGCATGACTTCATAGCGCGTCCTTCAATTGAGGGAAAAATGGGGTAGAATGGTAGATTCTTATAGGAGTCATTTTTAACCATTTATGGGAAAAGCAAATATCATGTGACATTGACTCAATGATATGGAGCAGCCTTTCAATTTTACTAAAACTTATGTAATATCATTGTAGAAGTAGAGTTTTCATTGATCTTGATAACTAAGATACAGTAGTATATACCATCTTAAGTTGCTGTTGCTGTTGCTGGAAGAAAGCACATTCTTTTTGTATATTTGTTCTTAATTCCATGTTATTGACTACTCTTTGTTTAAAATGCAGTATTCTTACGGGTCTACTCTCATTCATGGTAGGTTCATGCCTTTGATTTATATATATGCTTCTCCATTAACAAGGTCTGACCTATCTGCTTGAAACTTCTGTGTGTTATATACTAGTATTACTTAGCTGGTAAGACTATGCGATTCATTTCAATTGATATATTTGGTTTCTAAGTCTTTCTTGTGTCCTGCAGATGGACAAAAGCCCTACTACAGGAAGCGTTTCAACATCTGTTGAGGAAAAACAATGTTTAGCCAAGTCTTCACTTGCCTATAATTGTAAAATGTAAGTGAGTGGCAGTTTATTACTGGTGTCTGTTTTGTTTATTTTCTGTTGTCTTACATAGTCTACTGATGAGTATTGCATGCAAAAACCCATTTTGATATTGCTCTTTAAATCTTGGGCATATTCTTCATGAATGTCCAACGTTAGTTTTTCAATTGACTGAAATTAAGGTTTTGAATTGATATTTTGCTCTTACCAGTCACAAAAGTTGGTGTTCTGTTTTTGGGTTTTTTGTTTGGCATTTCTGTATGAGTCATGTTTTTCTAAGATAACTGAAATAAATTCATCCATGGTTTTCTCAGATAGACCATAGTCTCATAATGCAAATTGGAACATAAACAAACATTGTTTCCCATATTTTTCTCAGTTGCATCCTATGTCAGAAATTTGAAATTGTCCTGAAATTGAAGGAAGGCAATTTTGTGGAATTAGTCGGTTGATTTTTCTTTGAAAATAATTTGTCAATTAATTTTGTCTATTTTGGGCTTTGAAACTTTGCTTTTTAGTTCTACTTTTAGGAAATTGTTTCCTGAATATGTTGAGAAGTACAACCAGCAGCTTGCTGAGCAAGCTCGAAAAGTGGCATTGTCAGTGCCCGCACAAGAAGAATCTTCACTTCTCAATTCGGAGACACTTAATAATAACATGCAAGATAATGCAGCAAAAGCAGAAGATGGGAACAGAAGAAATAATCGTAAGCAATCTGTGCCGACCTGGATGCTGTTGTTGCTCTTCTCAATATTTGGTTTAGTTATGTCCTTGCCTCTTCTTGAACACTGATGTCTCTCCCTAAATAGGCTCGACCTAAATGGGTAAATCTTCAAACTTAAGATCATATAGATATGTGAGCTGGTCAATTTTTCACATCCAAAATTTTCCTTTTGTGGTGTTTCACTGTCTTGTAATTACTAGTACTACACTAACTTGTACAGTCTATGGGATGCTATCTTCTTTCAATTCAATTTTCTAGTATGAAAATTTTGTTTTAAGTGTTTGTCAAATCATCATAACAAAGTAAATGAGCCTGTGAGCTTTAATTGTTGAGGTTCATGTTTATAAACTTGAGAAAAAAAGGGTTTCTTTGAATAAAGGTGGTTTTGGGGGTGATGTCAATGGAAGAATTCTCTGAAAAGATTTGTGCCTATGCATTATACAAAGAGCGTTGCGTTCAAAATCTATGTCATGGCACCTGTGACAAAACTCATGCTTATCAACAACGAAGGCTTATAGGGTTCTAGTATGAGTGTTTTGCTTGCAAGACGCTCGAAGACTTAGTTAAGCCTTCATGTTAAGCATAAAGGAAAGTATATGGTGGATGATCTTAAGCGTGAGCAACATTGATTCTTTCTATTTTTCCATGAACTGAAACCAACTCGATTCAACTTTATTTGAACCAATTTTGAACCGATCTGAAATTGATTCGGCCTAGACCTAACCTGGACCCGACAAATCTTGACCCAACTTGAAAGTGACTCGAACTGACCTGAGGTTGGTTAACACGGTAATTTTAAACTGAATATATTTGACCCAAACACGGCCAACCCGTTATGGATCAATTCGTTTATACAAATTGACACATCTATTCTATAGGCTTATTAAATGGGGCAAGAAAGTTTATTCATCTCTATGTTTATGACTACAAAAGTACTCTAGTTTAATACTCGTAAATGAAGTAGGAAGACTAGGAACTAGGAACCTTCCTGTATGGTGAATTGGTGACTAACAAACTGGTAGAAGCCCTCTGAAGTGTTGTTCCTTTATTGTTTCCCCCAATTTCATCTATAAGTGGCACTTCTCCCCACCCCTCCAAAAATATATTTGTACATATCTACCTCTGAACGACTGTATTATTGTCTGCATACATTGTATTTGAATACCAAGACAGAGGGTTTCTATATGATAATAAAATAATTTATTAGACTTATAAATACGATTAGTATTTAGTAGTATTCCCCTCTTATTTAAATACAAAATACGTACCTCTTTTGTTTTTTTTTTGTTTTTAACTGCATTTACTTTTTACATTATTTACAAATTTGTACTACGTATTTTAATTTAGAGCTCCCTTTCAAAAATAAGAGGACTTGGGTGTGGCTCTTTAAACACTATTATATATAAAAAAAAAAAAAAAAAAAAAAAAAAAGTGGATGAGTCTCAAATGTGTATATTTATAATTTTAATTATTTTTTATTTTTTATTTTATTTTTTTTACTAATACACATAGTAAATTAATGATAATAGTTGCAAAATATATGCACTGACAATCCGACACGCATAAAAAAGTGCTAGTGTCACTTAAAACAAAAGGGGTATCTGATTAACCGTATCAATCCGAATACTTAAGTAGGCAAACTCTTACAAATTGTGAAAAATGAATTACATAAATCCTCATATCCCACGGAAGTTTTTATGTTTGTGACCAACCTTACTAAAATAATTAATGACACTGTACTAATCGTACAGATTATATACTTAGCTTGTAATTATTTAAAATTTTAAAAAAATACATGTAATAATATAGTTAGAGGCTTGTTCTAGGTACTTATAAAGGCTTTTTTGGTGTAGGAATGAGACAAAATTATTAAATGGAGCAAGAATACTCTAAAGTGCATCCATATCTATGTATATCCAAATATATAATAGAAATATTGGTACAAGTTAGTTTTGTTTATAATTATTTTAAAAGAATCAACATGTTATAGTAGTAGTACAATATACGGTATCTAATCGTCTTGGCTGCGTTGTTCACTTCCCAAATCCCAAGTCCTATCATTTTGATCCATTAATAATATTATACTCCACTAATCAACATTTAAACTTAATTAATTGACCTTCAACTACTATTCTACTACTACAAAGGTACATAAATGTGTGGTACTTGTTGCCCGACTAATTATTTTATGTTCAAGGCGCATGCACGTATATGTATGCAGTAGTGGTCAACTCTGTCAACGGTTCTTTTTTCAATAGATGCTCTGAAAAACTCTCCAGGTTATTGTTAGTGAAATACAATTATAATCTTCACCGG